AATGTTATACAAAATCGATAGTAATGATTTATTTATGTCTGAAACTTATAGTATTTATACCCCACCGGGTAAAGAATAGAAAATAGGCTTTAATTCTTTTTTCTTTTTAATTCTTTTTTAATCAGACAATTCCCGCAATAGGAATATATTCTGTGTCGCGGGGGACTTTACAAACATACATGAAACGGACACCAAGAACACCCAGACTCAGAACAACTGTTTGTGGATCGCATAAAGTGTCGTCCCATGTGGGGTTTGAACCCACAACACTCGGCGTAGTAGGAAGCAGCGTGTCGACCGCTTAAACCACTACGCCATCCGTGCAGACAATAGTCAAAATAATGGCTAATAGGCTTTAAAAAACCGACATAATGTAGTAGTAAACTAGCTAGTTATTACGCTAATAGGATAATTTTATTTTAAATCATCGAATAGTGGGCACAATTCAATAAAAAAGAGATATATTAATTAACAGACTATTAAGATATTTGAAATTATCTGATTTAATCCCCCATTTGTAGGTATATGAAATAAAATATGCTTACAATATTTCTAAATCGTTTAATGTTATTTTTAATGAAATTTCACTGTCATGACAACATCGTACAAGGGAAAAATAAATATTATTAACTATATAGTGACAGGGGGTGGAAAATTCCTTTGGATCTCCGAGTCCTAGAGGACGCAGAAGCCTGGATACTCCAGGCTTCTGCGTCCTCTGTGGTGTTTCTACTAAAAAAAACACCCTGACGGCCGGCCTCAGGCGCCCTACTCTGGGGAGGACCCGGATCATGTGATTTCAGGTCCCCCCGGATCGACGCTGCACCTAAATATAGGCGTTCTGCAATAATATGTAACAGCTTATCTTACTGTACGAGAAACAAATCGTTATTTCAATTAGGAAAAACGTAATTAGGTTTGCGGCGTATGATTATGATGGCCTTTGTGACTGATAATAGTCTCACTGTCATTGAGGGTAAAGACGCGAGCAGTGCATTTTCCATTACTGCATACCCAGCGAGTCCTGTCACCATATTCACGTTGTTTGTAGAACTTATAGCCATCGACGGAGAAATTCCTCGACTCGGGCTTAGTGATAGCCCATATATAAGGTCCTAAAATTATATAAGTTTATTTAGCATTTAATTCAATTATTCTTAATACGTATTTTTATCTAAGATTACCCAAATACTTTTGTTTTGATTCTAAAGCGAGGACAGGTATTTAAAGTATCTAATAAATGCTTAAAAGGAGTAGTTGTGTTTTCAGAAATGATGGTAAGTACTTGCAATATGGCTAAATAGTAATTGCAACGTCTATTTATATAACATAAATAGTACTCAAAAAATATGTACATATGCAAAAGCATAAGGCCGTGTAAAACATACATTGTACATTAATTAATTTTATAAATTCAATTCAAAAGCATACAAACATATACCAATATCTTTCAGACCACTAAGATTATTTTTATATATTATAATTACGTTTAGAAATTATTATCAACTGTCTTAACAAATAGGCATAATTATAGGTACGTAGATAACATTATCAATTATCGAATGTTTGAGATCTGTAACAACAAGACCTCTAACATCCCAAAATACACACGGGAGTAAAACTGTATACGATTTTATTAATTTAAATAAACGGTTTTATTATAACATATTCCTTTATACACTAAAAGGAAGGCAGCACATTGGTAGTTACTCAACGTAAATTCTTTATAACTGAACTTATATGGTATCGTACCCATTTCTTATTTTTTTTATTCCTTCTCCTCTCTCGGTGACCGCCGTAATATGGGCCAAAAACCCCCTTTATATATTTCTCGTGGTAATTCACAAATACGATGTTAAATCATTTTGCTAACAAGAAGTTAACTTGTCTCATGTTTGTCCTTCTGATTATGCGGTCATGCGGTGCTTGCCACTTAATATGTCCTACAAATTCTTAATGCCAAATTCATTTTGTTTGTGGAAATTATATTCGTTTATAGAAAGACCATCCTCGTATCACGACTCATGGTACTCAAAGAGAAATAAGGTCCTAAACCTTTAAATTCATACGAAAAAAATTAGGTAGCAATTAGTTAGCAAAATTATATATTTTTTTTAACCAAGTTCAAAAAAGCAGGCAGTTCTCAATTAGGCTGTAATTTTTAATTATTATTATTATTCGTATATAATTTCCTTACCTCAAAAATTCCGTCATTTATAAGGCAGGTTGCCACCGCTTAGGTTGAAAATGATTGTTGAAAATGGTTGAGGAATTCAGTTTATTATAGCTTATCATGATGAAGCATATTGCTGTCAGTTTTTTTTTAATTAATCTTTTTTGACAGAAAACATTTTTTTACACAACTTGCAGTGATAGCTTTAATGTAAAAATGGAATATCAAAATTAAATGACAGATTGTAGCGACATGTACCTGAAATAGAAGAAACACAAAATAAATCAAACAATTTAGTAAATGCTAAAAAACAAAGAAAAATATAGAAAGAGAAAGCCAAAATAAATTTAGAAATCCATGATGCCATTATAATATCAATATTTCTACATGTACAATTTATAAAATAAGCCAAAACAAATTGTTTATAAAGAAATAATCATAAAACGGTTTGCAAAAAAAAAAAAAACAATTGTATTTTATTTAAAACTATCGAACATTTTATCAATCAGAAATCAGAAGATGACCCTTATGTTTCAAAACACGTAACTTTATTTGACATAACGATGGTTATACAAATAATCTTTGTGTAAAAAATTGTAATTACAGAAAATTAAATTTATTAAACGAAATTCAAAACATTATATGTATACTAAATAGTATTGTTCATGTATGATTTCGCAGCAAGTTGTTAAATAAAAGTATCCCATGCTATCAGAGGATGTGTATGCGTGTTATTACTCTTAACAATTTCTAGTTCGTTATCAATACGAGTAGTGAAGAGGGTTGCATTACATTTCTTATTGTTGTATGCGTAACATCTCCACCTAGTAATACCTCCTCTACTTTTTCTATGTTTCGTGTACTTGCAGCCTCGAAAAACAATCATCCTGGCACCCTTCTTTGTCGTAGTAAGTATTGTTTCTGGAAAATTTACATAGTATTAAGTTTAAGTTGATTTTGGGTTTCAAAAGCAATTACATGCATGTGTAAGTTTCAGTGTTGGAGGAAATTGATCTTTGTGAACCAATAGAACTGATGTAGTTGTATATTTTAAGGAAATTAAGGTTTACGAGATCTCCATTGTGTGTAATGACAATAGTTTTTGTATATTCAACTATAGAGATGAGTTGATATACTTAAGAGTACTGGTTTAGTATTGTATAGCCTTAGTTAATGTATTGTATTATTACTCGTAATGTAGTCATTATTAATTATGTGAGTATGTTTAAATATGTAATGGCGATAACACTGATGCACGGAAAAACTCGAATAAGTTTATGAGGCAGATTATCTTGACTTTGTACCTGTTTTTGTAATAATAAATGAATAAATAAAAAGTATAAGAAAAAAAAGTATATGTAAATTTGTTTAATATTTTCAAATTAAAATATCACAAGTATGATACTGATTTTCTCTATCACATATCCGTTTTCTGTGTAAAACCGGGACATTTTCTATTCGTACACCGCCAAGCAATTACACCATTTTTATTTTTCCTTCTCAGTGTAAATCTAAATTTACTGTAGACCAAGCTATCACCGCCTCTTTGTGTCTTTGTATTATCAGGTAACACCGTAGTATCTGGAATTTACATTATTACACATACATCGTATACCAGGTATGGTAGGGAATAGTAGGGAAAATTTTGAGTGAAATATGAAGGGAAAACTGTTATAAATGATGATACCGTAATTAACAAAGTAAATTACTAATATTTTAGTCATGTTTGTCATTTAACAAATCGTTATACATTCTAACAATGTAATCTTAAATCTTTTTAGGTCGTATATGGTATAGCTGTACTATTTATTAAATAAAACAACGCGAAAGAAAGAAAATACATATATTTAAGTTATCGAAGAAAAGGAAAACACACGATAAGTTTTGACCAAGATTTTCGTTAGCAGCTGTACAGTTATAGTACTGTAAAAAAATAAATAAAATAGGATTACAAGCTCGTCTATACAGAAAAATTCTAAAACCTTTACCTAAATCTTAGTTTAGTTAGCCTTAAGCATATATCATACCATAGTAGGTATGTATAAGCATACCTACCTATTTCAAAACGCCATAATTTGCGTTAAAAGCTAATAAAAATGTTAATTCTATGTAGGACATATCCAATCGTGAAGATTAAAAACGCGAATTGAACTATAATATTCTACTACATAGCAAAAAAAAAGTATTAGCTAGTTAGTGACAATAGCGATGTTGAATGATAAATTCAGACATTTTCATTTTGGCCCTTACATTAAAAGAATCATAAAAGCCTTTTATAACTCATAAATAGGAGATGATATATAGGCACACAGGTTAGCTTTAATAACTTAATTTCTAAATCAATACCTAATAGCCAAAATGTTCCGACAGTTATCATTTGACTAAATATGACCTAGAGTGACTAGCAGTTTATATTAATTATTTAATAAGATCCACTACATCATTCAATCTTAATAATAACAAGAGTCAAGAGGTAGGTAGAGGTGTATGAATCACAGGTTACAACAGCCTTAGTAAAGTCGTATGTATTGTGACCTACCAAGTAACGAGATTGTTCGCATATTTATGCGAATAATGTCGTTAATTGTCGGGTCGGACAATTAGAAATTTCGAGACTGTAACCAAGTATTAAACGAATCACCCTAATCATTCGACTTATTATCATTAATTCATTACAAAAAAGACGACTGCATTACACATTGCATCGAGATAATAATGAAAAAAACATAATATATGCATAATGAAAAAAAAAAACAATTTTACACGTGATATCTAAAGCGTTATACATTGTTTATAAACATGTCATTATGAGTTCATAAACATGTCGTTACTGGTTCATAAACATGTCATTACAGAAGTTGGTTAAAATTTCGACTTGATGGGAAATAAGTCTTGGTGGATGAGTGTGAGCACCAAGTTGGCTGCACACCGAGTCATTCATTGTGTGCACCTTGGCTCTGCAACCTTTGCTGTGATGTGTGGAACATATCCAGTGGAGTTTCGAACCAAGCACGTGCTTTACGCAGTAAGTATATCCATTCAGTACTAATTGTCTTGCCCCACGTACAGATGTGACGTATTGTGCATCTGAAACAATGGAATTTTTTGTTAATTTTTCAGTTGTATTTTCCTATGCGATGAGAGACTTCGAGCACGTATATATGTATCTTCAAATGGACTTTAAGACTAAACTTAGATTTACATAGGTACTATGGCACAACAGAAACATTTTACCACCTAGTAGACGTAAAAAATGCAGGAATTTTAGTTCTGCTTTAATGTATAAGTATCAATAAAAAAAAGATTAGCAAAAAAACGAAGTAATACACAAGTATAACTTCGAGATTTTGTTTACTTTGAAAACATGTAACCTCATTAGTATAAATTTATTTTAATAATAATAATACCCAATAATAATTAATCAAAAATAATTGAAGTGTGTTAAGACCTTTCATTTTTTAGGACATTTCTTGTATAATAAAATTAATAAGCTACTAAATATATCCAGCTTAAATAATAAACTTAAATTATGCAGAAAGAGGATATAGGTTAGAAATTGTTATTACATTATGTTTGTGATTTGCTTTTGAGCGTGTACACTACGTAGTATTTTTATATTCTTTATTATTCTATTATTGTCGCTGTACATTCATATCTAAATAAAATTTGTTTAAAACTTCAAATTAAGCGATCGCCTGACACACAGGTTGATCCTTGTTTTCCTTCTGACTAACGCAGGTCCTATCCGGGCTGCTTCGGAAAGTCGGTCGGTCGCTAGGAGGGAATTGAGTCCCGCCTGTCACCACTGCTATTGCAGTGTGGACTCAGCTCACGCTGACAATTTTCCCGGCTTGCGCGTCGAAGCTGCGGGTCCTCACTTCAGTTATCGGAGGAGATCTCTCGCTACCGGCCGCTCCATGGCCGTTAGCAGGAGGCCGGGCAGCGGAGGCCGGGCAGCGGAGGCGCGCTTACTAGCGCCTCAGGCCGCCGGTTTTCCCCTCCACCCGCCATAACGGCCAGCCGCGAGGAGGCGAAGTCCGCGTGTGCCGGACGTCGCCTAAATAGATAATGTACGCGAAAGTTGTGCCCACGCCGTTTCGGGCAAGAGCTAGGAGGGGTCCGGATGTCTTAATAACAACAGTTCCCGGAGCCCTTCTATAACAGGATCAGAGTGGCACACCGTGTGGTTTTAGTCGGTTCGACTCCGATACACCACCCTGCCTAAATACGTTAAAAACAAACAAAAAAATTGCTACATTGGTTATCCTATAACCTTTAAGAAATGGTTCCATCTCAAAAGTTACATTATACACTTCGAGCTGGTTTTTGTATTGCGTAGGATTTCAAGAAATAAGGTAAATAAATATGCAAATTCTTTGTATCTCCGTTTCATCATTTTATTTAAAAGGATTTATTTTAATCGCATAATGTAGATCCTTTTAAAAAAATATATTTCAACTTTTCAACGATTTCAAACAATACTAACATCAAATACGAGAATCAAATTGTAACGTCTTGTAGTGAGAAATATACCTACCAAAAAATACGGCATTATTTTAATCTTTAGGTAAAACATTTTTTTATTTGGGAAATCAGAAAAATAGATATTAGTATTTGACTTTTTAGGTTACGCACTGCGCATTTTTTATCTGTTGACCTCTGTTTTCTTTAGTCTATGGCCTAACGATATAAAGATTGATTTATTTGCAAAGTTTCCCGACGTATAAAAATATCTGAAAAGAAGATTTACTTGCAGAGATAAATATCATTTCATTTACTAGGATAATGTGCAAAGAAACTTCGTCTGCGTCTCTAGAAAGGTTTTGTTTCCAGTTTTTTGCAACAGTTTTCTTTAATGCTCGGCTCTTATTGCTAGTAGTTAGTGTGATGTTGTATTTCCTTCCTTGATAAATGGGCTATCCACCACAAAGCGTTATTGATAGAAGAATTGATATAAATTAAAATGATTTATTTAAGTGTATAATGTGTACGTATTTCTAAATTTCTAGAACACTGACACTACACGTAACTTGAAACATTACCGTACACATTACAGTACACAATTTTCATAACTATAAAGTAATAAACATTGACTTATTTTACTACTGCTTGTCACACCGACATACAGCTCGCTTTAATCATAAATGGGTCGTTCTTCTTCTTGGCGGACTCAAAACGACTCAAACGAATATTTCAAAATAACGTTCAAAATGTTTCGAATATTTGTCTTATTATGATTGAAGTAGCTTTTTTTTGTTATGGCGTTATTTTATTTTTTCTACCACATTCACACAACGCCATCTAGTCCCAAACTAAGCAGAGCTTGTACTATGGGTACTAGACAACTGATATAAATATATATATACTTTTTTTTGTAAATACATATTTATTATACATAGAAACACCCAGACCAAATCAAACATAAAATGTTCATGCACACAAATGTTTGACTTGAGCGGGAATCGATCGAACCCGCAACCTTTGGAATAGCAGTTCGTAACACAAACCACTATAACATTTGGTCGTCATTATAAAAAAAAATCTTTGTATTATTTTTATTATTTTCCTAAGAATAGTTTATTGTAGTTTCGGACTGGTAACTAGTACTTGGAGATTTTGACGAAATAGTGTTACAATCAGAGATCATGTTAAAAAGAACAACTACACAATAAGTGGTATAATATATTAAATGACTTAGCTACACACTTATACAGTCAAGTTACTACTTACCTACTTAAATACAAATTTGATAATGTCAGAATACGGCCTGAATATCAGGACACGCAAACCAGTTCAAGGAAATCAATAAATATCTCTCAACACATTTTTTATTTAAAAAAGCTATTTTTAATGCTGTTAGTGATTATTAATGATTATGATTATTGTTAATCTTGACAATTTGATTTTGTATGGTGAAGATCATGGCTCTGCATCCTTTTTTATGGTTTGTTGCACAATACCACCGACTTCTGAACCCAGTTGTGCGATGATGGCAGAATCTGTAGCCAGATATTACGATTATACGACCCCCTCTAACAGACGTCGAGAAATGGATATCTGGAAAAATATATTTGGTTATATCATTTTGCAAAAGAATCGGTACTTAGTATAATTAGTATTTTGATAAGTTGATAAAAATGTGGTATAATTGTAGTTGGTATAATTAAAACAACTTAAATCTAACATAAAGTGGAATGTGTATTTGATAATTATTTATCTTTATAACATAAAAATATATAAATATGTAACAATTCGAGACAGTCACCCCCGTTCATTTACCTTTGTGGCGTTAATTCTACCTTTGTAATAAAAACAAATTTATCAAGGAAAGAATACTGTATTTTACACAATTATAAAGTTTTTCTTCATACACTTACAATACTTTTCAAACACAACTCTGGTCTAGAGTTGTGTTTGAAAAGTATTGGAGTCCCTTACTCCAAGTGGTTACCTACAGAACACTTTTTTTTCCATTTTGAGCTATCGGGTGTTATCGGAGAAGGAGTTTGTTATGCCAGCATCGTCGTAACTCGTCCATACATTCTCGACCTGTTTAAGATTCAGGCTAAATGCTGGCCACTCTATACAGTTAACGTGAACATGACGCGTTCATTACCAATCCGTCCGAGTGTATTTTAGTCGGAAATATTTTACCTACATGGTTCTACTTATTATACATATATAAAAACTAAATTACATGCTATATGAGTATGACAATAACAGAACAGGTTAGTGATTCTTATATAATAGCAGCCTGTCGTGTTGCCTAGTTTTTATATGATGTTACAGAGTGTATTTTCAAAAGTTGTTAATTGGAATACAAAAAATACATCGTGTATGTTTATTGCACAATTTTTTTTACTCAGGTAAATGATTGTGGCTGTCATTATATTTTATAATTTCCTCGTCTAAAGTAATGACGTAAGCGTTACAGCCCTTGGTTTTCTGCTTAGAACATTTCCACCTGATTCGTCGACCATTACCTGAGTGTTTGGAAAAGCTGAAGTCCTGTATCCATAGGATGCGAGCCCCGCGGTCTGTAGTTGTGAAGAATGCAGATCCTGAAAAACATTATAATTTATAATATAAAACTTTTAAGTCCTTAAATATTTAATAAAGCAATTCTACTGGTTTGTAATATAATGATCAATATATTAATATAAAACTACGGGAATTGCAATACTTATTATTGTTCGAAAGCCGATAACTATTTTGACATTTGAATTTTATTCCTGTTTGAAGTAAAATGCTGCTATGCATATTCTGGAAAGTTATTATAGTTTTCATTATATTTCAAAAGTTGATTACCTAAAAACATGACTGATGCTTTGCAACCCTTTCTTTTCTCCTTGAAGCATTTCTATCTTGTTTTAATACCAATATCACGATGTTTACGAGTTCCGACGCGGAACTAACGCGGCAGAAACGGCTCGCAATATCAACGCTGCGTTTAGAGAGGAGACTGCTAATGAACGCACCGTACGTTTTTGATTTAAAATTAACTCTTTCGTAATAGAAACACCACGTATAAGACCGCCCACACAGGTGAATAATGCTGAATTGAAGAAGATGGTGGAAGCCGATCGGAGTCAAACTACCCAGGAATTAGCGGCATTGTTTAACGTTATATACCTACATTGACTCATTTGCCTCAAATCAATAAGTTAAAGAAATATGAAAAAAAAATGGGTTCCTCATGATTTGACTGGCTTTTTTTTCTTTTTTTTTTCTGTGCGGAATTCCCCTCGGATACCACCCACCAGTGGGTGATTATGTCGGACTCGAACCGACCAAAAACCGCACGCCGTCTCCAGGTACCAGTAGCCGGGGAACCAGGTATACCCTAGAAAGGAAAGCCCTGGTATGATTTGACTGGCCTGCAGAAAGAAATGCGTGTTGAAACTTGTGTTGTCTTGTTGAATCGGTACAAAAATGAAGGAATATTGGATCGAATTGTGACATGACTAGAAGTGGAAATTTACGATAACTGTAAGCGAAAAATGCAATAGCTGATGACAGGTCAAACGGCGCAACAGTGCCCTAAAGCAAAGCTTACCAATAAAAAGGTAATGGTAACTGTTTGGTGGTCTCTTCATGGTGTTATTCACTATAGCTTCCTCAGGTCTCGTCAGACTATAACAGCAGATGTTTTCTGTGCCAAACTTCGAACATTGATGGCGAAACTGGCAGTGAAACAGCCCCGACTCGTGAATCGATCTTTACCATTATTGCTCCATGATAACGCAAGACTAACTTTACAGGAGCTGCAGTTAGAAACCATAAGTCATCCTCCGTACTCGCCAAATCTTGCTCCAACGGACCAGGAGGCAGTACAAAATGCTTTTACACAGTTTGATATAGCAAAGCATATATAATGAGGGTAAATATTTTGTTTAAATAAATTGTTAAAAAGAGTTTATATTTTTTAGTACAAATCGGTAATTTCATATTTTAACCCCTAATATTAACACTACACAATACAACATTAGATAGCACACAAAAAAATAATGCTTGAATGCATCCTATTATTCTCCTGGTTCTTTTTAGACCATCTAAATCACACATACACTCAATACATAAACCGTTCATAAATATAAGTTCAAAAATAATAATAAAATTGCAGATTTACAGATTTTAATGTTTACAAACCTTTCGTACACATCACCGTTCAGATTAAATAATAGGTCACTCTCAAACCAATCTACAAAGAACCACTGTTTTATTAAAAAAAGAGAGTGAACAAGGCGACTAGACGGATCAACAAGTGAGTGACTATCTCCAACCATGAACAATTGCAATCCAAAAGTCACATGTGGATAGCGGACTTTTTGATGATAAAGTACTTTACTCAGTTCTTGTATGTAGTGACTTCTTTGTAGTAGGAGGTAGGAGGGGCTCGTGACTAAGTGGTAACCGAGTAGGTTAATACAATGCAAAGTTAAGCAATCCTAGCCAGGTCAGTCGATATATGGGGTGACCATTCTTAACACATTGAGACCCCTCCGTGCCATACGATACTGGTTGCCATACGAACATCTGTTGCAATCAATACGGGTAGTTGGAGCCCCTTAAAAGGCCGACAATAGATCAGGGGCCCAAGTGTGAGTTTACGGTACATCCACTCGTTCGTCACGATGAGCGCGTTCGACGTTGTGATTGGCCCGCACTGAGACCTTCACCAATTGCAACGCGGGAACCCGCTCGCTGCCGAAAGCGAGTTGTGTGACATAAACTTGCACTAAGCCCTCAGTTCAGTTCTACATCATTTCATCAATTTCGATATCATCAACAGCCTTTAACAGTCCACTGCTGGACATAGGCCTCTCCTTAGAAAGGAGGTTTTGGCCTACTATACCACGCTGGCCAGACGGGTTGGTATAGGGTTTTTGTCAAGATTTCCTTCTCTCTGCAGTGCTGTTGTCCTGCGTATTTCGCTCCCTTAGTCGCCTCTTACGACACCCACGGGATGACACATCAGACCTTTACAACCCAAGTACTAGTCGTTCCGCGTAAAAAATCAGCCGACTTAAAGTCGACCCAAACCTAGTATGTTGAAAAGGTTCCGAGGAAAAGTGACTTCTTTGTAGTGGATTGTTTAGATATATTTTCTAAACTTGGTTTTATTTAAAAGGTTTTAATTGCATTTTAAAAGAAAAGGCGATATAGTTTCTATCTTGTATTAATCTGCAGTGTCAGGAGTTACATTGCAATAAAGTCATTTTCCGGTAAGTGACTGTGATTGCTGTTGTATTTCACAATCTGACCGTCTATGATTGTGACCGACGCCTTGCAGCCTTTACTTGAGCACTTGGAACACTTCCATCGTGTTTTACCGCTAACCTCATGATGCTTCGAAAAACTGTAGTTATTCATGCATAGAATACGAGCACCTCGACGCATTGTGTAGTATATGGATTCTAGAACAGAAATCAGTCGGTATAAAATAATGATCATCATCATTAAATCAAGTAACATCGTTCATTTGGTAATAAAATAATAATAATTAAAATTAAATATAACGCTGACATTGATTTTATTGAAAATTTTGCATTTGGAATTTGATAATTAACGTGTCTCTTTTCTGCATGATCCTTCATCTTAGAAACAGCAGTACATCAATTTTAGAAACTGATAGAAAAATATTAAATGAAGACAATAAGCACACGCTACTACACTTTTGAAATGAACCAACAATTTCGAAGTTCAAAACAAAGCGGAAAATAACATAAGTGTGTATGAGCCAGGAAGAAGGTTGGTCACGTCTAACCTGAAAAAGTTTTTTCTTTTATTACTGAAGTTCATGCAAAAATGTATGCAAAGGCGGACACAAAACCTAAGGCCTCTTCTCTATAAGCTGTCGCATACTATGTGTTGTACCGACTAAAGTTAAATTTATATTATTAATTTAATTTAAAAGCAAAACAGTTGCTAAATATTATAGTTGTATTTACACGATAATTTAATATATTTAAAAAGTATAAAATAAAAGCACCCATTTTCACTTAATTATTGCGCAACACTTGTATCTGAGTTCAAAATCGGTTTTATTCTCAATTCGGTTATCTTTTTATGTTTGGTAACACAGAATTCCATAATTTAGGAACTAGTTTATAAAAATATTTTTTTCATCTTTCATTTTTCAATTTATATTTCAAATTACAAAATATTGAATACGAATACCATCCCTAAGGCAAATTTAGTCGCAAAGTCGGACTTTATAGCTAGAAGATCCTGTCAAAGATACCAGGCTTCCGGAGGAGGATGACTATGGGTCCTCTGGCCTTTTCCTTCTAGAACTGCAAAGTCTCCAAAGGCTAAGGTAAATACAGACGCACTACATTTTCTATTATAGCATCGCCACCGTATCGTTTGTTTATTTTTCCGATGTATGGTGTATCTATGTCTTGCAACAGTCAACAGCAGACCACCTTGCTTCGATGGGCAAACTGACATGTCTGTAAAATAAATTTAAATAAATATTTCCATTTTGCCTGGCCGTTGCGGGCAATTTTCACTTGTAGTAAAAAAGTAGCTATCTGAGAAGGCGACACAAGAATATTGCGACCTTTGAAAAAAATGAGTTGAGCTGGGTCCTCCTGGGGAGGAGTCTCTCACGGTTTACTTAGAACATCAACAAATAAAATATCTCAAAGTGCACATACGCAGCTCTTTCAGTTAATCTCAAGAAATAAGCTTGTAAAGTATCGGCTAGTTCTGCTGGATCTTTGTTGTATGATATAGGGGCAAAGGAGCAGATGGGTTACCTGATGGCAAACGACTAACGCCGCCCACGGGCACCTGCAACTCAGGAGTCACAAATGCGGTGCCGCCCTTTGAGTCTCTTCCCCCAGAATCAGGGGGAGGTTTGGGACTCGGAGACATCAATCACTCCATGAAAAGCGATGAAAGAACTGCGTAACACTGGTTTTCTGTAAGGCCGTGGTACTACTCTGGTGGAGTTTAGCCCATATGTTCGGCAGCATGGCTCTCTTACGAGAACCTTCATAACGTAACATGTATTACTGCTTTAAATAAAGTCTCCAGCATGCATTGCTGAGAAACTATATTACCCTCAATAACTGTAACTATATCATCAATAACCAACAAACATATAATTGAGATTATTTTTAAGTGCCTTTTTAGTAATTGCGTTGTCAGTTTGACAATTATTTTGAAATATCTTTTATGTACAGATATCAAGAGTCTATTTTATTATACATTATATATATTATATAATATATGTATTATATAATATAAACGTAATGAATGAGAGCAGTTTTGCGCCCTCCACGTATAAATGAAAGTCGAAAATATTTTATATATATTATATAGTAACAAAGAATAAAAAGAATGTACTTCAAATTCGTTATCTTCTAGGTTTTCGCCATGTAAATGATGCGCCAAGCATTCCTCTTATTCGAAAATGGGTCAAAAAGTTTGAAGAGACCGGTACAACGCTGGAAAAACCAAAATCCGGACGACCAAGGTCATCAAGAACGGTAGAAAACGTGGAGAGTGTTAATCAGTCTGTTCGTAACGACCCGAACCTTTCAATTCGGAAGCGCGCAAGTGCTTTAAATGTGCATAGATCATCATTACACCGCATTTTGCACAAAGACCTAAAGCTGCACCCCTACAAAATTCAATTGGTGCAAGAATTAAAGCCCCAAGATGCCAGTCAGAGGCTTGACTTCGTAAATCAGGCGATTGAGCGCTTTTCAACGTTTACCAACATCTTGTTTTCGGATGAAGCTCATTTTCATGTTAATGGAAACGTAAATAAGCAGAATTGCCTAAAGTGAAAGTATGGGCTGCGATGTCGGCGCGAGGAATTATCGGCCCTTACTTTTTTGAAGACGAAAGGGGGCGTGCAGTTACAGTGAATTCAGAGCGTTATGTGGAGATGTTAAACGACTTCTTGGCGCCTGAACTGCAAAACTTGCCTGGCCATAACTAAAGAAAATGGTTCCAGCAGGACGGAGCAACGTCACACACGTCCAATACGTCTCTGCCACGAGTTCGTGAAATTTTCTCAGAAAAATTGATCTCCAGGAGAGGTGACATAAATTGGCCTCCACGCAGTCCTGATTTAACCCCTATGGACTTTTTCCTATGGGGTTATCTTAAATCTAAAGTTTACGCGAATAAACTGACTTCCCTGGCGCATTTGAAAGAAAATATCCGTCACGAAATGGCAGCCATCACTGAGTCCACCTGCCGAGCCGTCATAAGTAATTTTACTGTTCGATTAAATGAGTGCCGCGAACGCGAGGGTCTACATTTGGAGGATATTATTTTTAAGAAATAAATGCCCAAATTGTGTACTTTAATAATTAATAAACATTTTTTCGATACACTGCTTACTTTTTTTTTAATTTATTCAATCTTCCAATGGTGTAAATCTTACATTACAATAACTCGACACATCTCATACACTCTGACGTCTCACTCTCACGTCTGACCTCAAACTTAGCACAGCCTGTGCTATATTATTCGGACTGCTTATATATATATAACCATACTTATATATTTTTGAATACATTCCTGTTAGACACCGAACAAGTGTTCGTGTTCATCACACAATTATTTGACGACGGACTTGGGCTTGGCAATCAGCATCACTGTTATTTCTTGTAACAGATTTATTTACTATTCTTAACTCAGCGCCATATATCTTGCCAAATGGGAGGTGGAGAGTGTGAATGGGTAGAATACGTCTTAATAACATATTGATCTACTGTATGCAACGCCGCCCGGCAACCATGCTTCTGTCTCGCACAATGCCACCGGACTTTAGCTCCTGTTGTTCGGTGGCGAGTAAACTTGTAACGGTCATACAGCAAACAACGACAGTTTTCATACGATGGGAAAAATAATGCTGAAATAAATAGATTAATAAATAGAGAATAATTTATTTTAATCAAATCTGTAAGAATATTGGTTTTGTCCTGTTGAAGAATTAAATAAGGATTTTGAATTAAAGTGTTTGGCAGGACGAATCAATTACCGGAGCTAGCCATCCTACTTCAAAGTGGGATGACATCGTTGGAGCTGGTTTACGTCTTCTTGTATACATCTATCTTGCAATTTTCAAGTGACTAGTCGTTATTTGAAAGAAAAACTGTTTTTATTAAAAAACCGTCCGTGTAGTGACCCCTTTTCCTCCCGTGAGTGTGTGCACAATTATTAAATTAAAAGGAATTATTAAGGGGAATAAATTAAATTAAACTAAAAGGACTAATCCTTAATTAAAAATTTATTAATATAATAATTCAATTATCATTGAAAAGTGAAAATTTCTTACATGTTCTATTGATCTACGTAAATCCACATAACAAGTGTTCATTAAGGTTGATATAATAACATCAAGAGAGACTATTTAAATGAGCTTTGAGAATACTTTAATGTTAGCAGAAAGGTAATTTCTATGATTACGATAAGATAATAAATTATGATGACACATGATATAACGGTCCGGTAGGTAATCTATTATCTTATTTGTACTTTTTTACATAATAACATCTGGCGGATCATGATTGTGTTCATATTTCATGTTGATCAGAATATTGTCAGTTGTGTATATAACAGATCTGCAGCCGTATCCCTGCTGAGAGCAGAACCATCTCACTTTGCTTCCATTTTCCCTCTGTTTTCGATACTTGTAACCGTTCATAATGACGATGCGAGCTCCTCTAGACGACTGCGCGAACATTATACCTAAAAGAACAAAATTATATCAAGGTTATATCGCATTCGAAGCTTGGAGTGTGGAAGTACTTTTGGAGTGTCGAAACCAAATGACTTTAATAACATATATAACCAGATGTACTCAATAACATACAAGACAAAACAATAGTATTGTATTTCCCTAACCCGTTGTACGAGGAGCTAACGTTAGGGGCAACATTACACTCGACATCAAAGTACAGACAAGAAAAGATCCAAAATACTTTGTTAAATTTTATTAAAATTTTGACGAAAGTTATATCTATTTATTTTTTTCGGACATCTGACACACATCGCTACCTAGTTTCAATTTAAGCAGCGCTTGTACCATGAAAGCTAGATTAACTGATAGAATACTTATATATTTAAGTGCAGTGGTTTAAGCGGTCGCCACGCCGCTTCCTACTGCGCCGAGTGTTGTGGGTTCAAACTCCACATGGGACGACACTTTGTGTGATCCACAAATTCTTGTTCTGCGTCTGGGTGTTCTTTGTGTCCGTTTCATGTATGTTTGTAAAGTCCCCCGCGACACAGGAATGTATTCTTAATGCGGGAGGTGTCTTTTTATAAAAAAAAAAGTATTCTATGTATATTATGATATATGTATTTACTGTAAATACACACATATTATCATCGTATACATAGAAAACACAACTCCGAAACAAACATTTGGTCCGACCCGGGAATCGAACCAGAGACGTATACGACTGCTGTGCTGAGGGCACAGCAGTCGTATACGCTATCACTGCACCGAGGCAGTCGGCAGTATATTATTATGATGATGATATACGATACTGTACAAGCATCTTACACTAAGAGTGTTTTGTGTTCGTGAGATCCTCTTCATGATTGCAAAAATGTTTCATGAACAGGACTTAGCCTCCCTCGCAAAGATTTTAATTGGGGAAGTAATGATGATGACCTCTCACGAGACATTTCTTACTCTTTTCTTTATGAGTTACTACAATTTCCCTGGAGGTAAATGATCGTGGTCATGCTTCATAGTGATTATTTCATTTTCGACAGTGAATATTACGGCTTTGCATCCGTGTCGCTGGTGACTGCAGAACCATCTGACTTTTTGAGAAATAGTCGCTCTTTGCCTGAAGAACTTATATCCGTTATAGATAATGACTCGAGCCCCTCTACCTGTCTCTTTAAAAAATGGTCCTGAAAATGTTAAAATACAGGTAAGATCTGGAAACTAAAATAACTACTTAGGTTTAGGAAAAAATCGTATTAGATATGTTATTTTGGGGTTACTCGTAACAGATGTATGAGGTAGATAGACAGTTTTGTTTACGTAAATTTTCAAAGGAATTGCATCAGTGGACTCACCAGGAGACTCATAAAAAGAAAAGACATGATAGGTTTTTTTAGTTTAATTAAGCGGTTTCAGACATTGATGTGAGCTAGAATTCATCTCTTTCCACGGAGCTATAGCGCCTCAACACAAATACCATGCCTACCACCGTCCATGGATACCTGTAACTCAAGAGTCATAAGTGCGTTGCACTCTTTGAGTACCTACAATTTGCGGGAGAGCGAGGGAAGTTAGGCTCCGGTGACCTCACTGACTCGGTGAAAAACAACTAAATAATTGTTTAACACCGGTTTTCTGTGAGGCCGTGGTATCACTTCGGTCGAGCCTGGTCTATTTGTGTCGAACTTCTTAACTTCGGGAGAGTCCCATACTCTCCCGAAGTTAAGCCTTTGTGCAACTAACTGAGAATTTGTATATGCCATCAAAATTCTATTACATAATTGTCTTTGGAAGGTTGTGAAATACTCAAACAATCAAATTATATTCGTTTATTGTACAAAATATCACACTTCACATGATTACAAAGTCGTATAATAAAAAACTATTGTTACTCGTACCTGATAAGGTACACGTACCTACGTGCTTCGCCTAAAGACGGTCACTACTTACTACAAATAGTAAAAGTCAATAGCTATAGTCTAAATCATCTTAAAGCCATAACATTAGAAGTCAAATTCTAGTAATATACCCTGTCCATTCCCTTATTTCCTTTTCGACAGTTTCTTGAGGACGTAACTGTATCAGAATTTGTTAAATTAAACTTAAAACGGCAAAAAAATATGTAAATTACCCATTTTCGTAAACATTATGATAACTGTATACCTACTACCTACTGGTATTATTACTTCTTGCGATTTTTGATGTGCACACATGTTCCTACCGCATGTAAAAATACGATATTAACTATTTATACGTCAGTGTACAACCATTCTTTTATAGTAATATATAGTTTAACATATTTGTATGAATAAGTAACTTTATATGGACATTTAACATGGGTAATATAATTTTACGAAACAAATTCAGTATTCTAAGTTAAGATAATACTTAGCTACCTTTAAACTTTGTTTCAACTCCATTAAAACTTCCCCTTTATAGTCGTATCTGTTGGAAACATATTATAGTTCATTGCTTATTTCTTTATTTATTTAATAACTTTATGCACAAAATGTACAATGGCGGACTCTAATATGTAGTCTACCGTATTGAAATGAATGAGAAGGTGCAATACACTTTGGTTATGAATTTATAAGTAAACAATATTAAAAAATACTGTCTCGCATAGAAAAGAGAAGAAACGGAGAAATAAACAATGTAATAATATAAATATATCTACGTATAAGAATATATAAATATATTTACTATAATGTTAAAAGTATCAAATTTGAGACGATTCTCCTATATTTTGGGTGAGGAGAGCTCGTACCTTCACTTTGAACGAATTACGACTTGGTGCCGTTCTGATTTCCTGGGGAAGAGCATTACTGAGAAGGACAGATTGAATGAGGAAGAAAAAATGAACGCAGGCAGTGTGTGAGGGGTATAACAGAAGACGATTATTTGTAGAATATTTATCGAACTGTCAAAAAGGAAATAAAAAAATTGGCAGAGTAAAATCAACGTGCCGTCACTCTTATAATACTAGTTAAAGCTAGTTGAAAAGTACGACGTACGAATAAAACTAATATCAAAACCTTTTTCACAAAATTGAATACCTTAATAATATTCCTCATATCAAATAGTTGCTACAGAAATCTTAAAAAAACTGTTTCAGGTAGCATAAATCAAAGTCAAATCAATAAATCAATAACACATTGTCACTATTAATAAAACAAACTTGTGCCTGCGGTTACTCCCGTATAAGCGTAAAATTTTAACAACAAAGGCCTCCCCCAGCAATTATCCTGGCCCTCAATTCTGCTATTTGAATATTATATCAATATACTGTCGATGGCATGTCGTCGGAATAGTTTTGCACTTTTCCTATTCTACTAACAATGGCCTCTCGATGACTTGTCACTGATACAAAAGTCGTCGATATCTTTGTAACAGTTTGGTAAACGGTACATTTTAAATTCGTAAGAAAATGACATATTTAATTTTCCAGGTACGGCAATGTTGTTGATTCCAACATTGATGACCTATATTACTATATCGACAGTCTATTGACATTGTGTGAATGTGGTATAAAAAATATATATGTGAATTTATGTTAGTAGAATACTGATATTTTGACCGATGTCAATGGCCTCTCAATGCCATCTCAATAGCGTATCAATGGAAAGACAGTGGTTTGGCGTAAACATAAAATAGCAGAATTGAGGCCCTGGTCCTGGGCAGTCCGTAATTCAAAGTTTATCTTCTACTAAATGCAGCAGTTTTCAAAACGTAGGACAGAAAGTTGCATTTCTTCAATACATTAGTCTCAAACTCTTTGGAGGTTCGTGGTTGTGGTGCTCTTTAACTGATATAATTTCATTTTCTATAGTAAATATGACTGCTTTACATCCGTGCACGTGGTGACTGCAGTACCATCTCTCCTTAAATGCACTTACTCTCTGTCTAAAAAACTTATAACCGTTATAGATTATAACACGAGCTCCTCTAGAAGTCTGCGTAAAAATGGGACCTGCAAGCGATAAAAAAATTAAAGAACTTTTGAAAACAGACAAAATGTTTAATATTTGAATACCTTTACTTCAAAATTTTAACTATATTTTGCTACTTTTGATACTATCAAATATATAATATGAGTTTGGGTGTACGAGTATTCTATGTATAATATGTATGTACTTACAAAAATAGTATATAGGTATTCTATCAGTCAATCTAGCTTTCACAATACAAGGCTGCTTAGTTTGAAACTAAATGGCGTTGTGTGTTAGATGTCTGAAATATTATTACTGAGGACGTACTTTTATTATAAAAAATCAGCTATACTAAAATTTTATAAAACTAAAGATTCAAGTCGACTGCTTATTATGTTATTGCACAACAAGTTAATGGTGCTAATCAAGTCGTACCAAGGGGACAGAAGTCATGTCCAGAGTAGTACATTTCGTGGGAGAGCCATGCTTCCACAGCCTCACAGAAAACCAGTGTTACGCAATCCTACGTAACTTTCTACCGAGTGATCGAAGTTACTTGAGCCCAAACCCCATCTGCTCGTTTACCCTCTTAACAACTTAAAAAAACATACAATCTTGTGACAGTTCCTTAATTTGATCTAACGTTTCTGAGGCCTTTTTATACGAAAGCGGTACGAATTATTGGGTGCAAATTGTTCTTTAATGTTAAACACGTTTCTTAAAAGACAATATCACCCGAAATTCATTTTTATTAATAAAATTGCAAATATCGTTAAAATATGTAAAGTACAGTAACTTACAATACTTTTAAAATACTTATAATATACTCTACTTGTATATTTCATCATTAATTTTTAATCTGAACTTTTACTAGCATAATAATATTAATACAAAAACCTGTAAAAGTAAGGAAGAGTTCACAATAAGAAATTGCGTGACATAGTTATATCTTTCTGATTTCTTTAGTTTTCTTCTTTTCTTTTCTTTTCTTTTTTAAAAGACAACTCCCGCACTAGAAATAAAGCCTGTGTCGCGGGGGACTTTACAAATATACATGAAACGGACACAAAGAACACCCAGACTCCGAACAACAATTTGTGAATCACACAAAGTGTCGACCCATGTGGGGATCGGACCCACACCCACAGCACTCAGCGTAGTAGTGAACGGCGTGGCGACCGCTTAAACCACTACGCCGTCCGTGCAGTCAAAGTCTATTAGCAAGATTGCAAAAGTTTCCCCATATTGGTAAAACATACTTATGAAGTTAATATTTAGTTATCTACTCTGTATAAAGTAATTGTAGATATTAAACAAAGTAAGATCTTCATACATATAACAGTGACAACACCAAATTACTCTTTACGAAGGATTTAGTTATTAACAAAATATTGAATAATCACAAAGCCCTTGTGAACTACTGATACTTCGAACATAGGCAAAATGTCTAATAAGGTCAATGTTTGAGACTTATAGATTCACAGTAACAGGTTTTCTGGCGGTGCATGATTATGTTCCTTTTTAATAGACACGACTTTGTCTTCCACAGTGAACATAACGGCTTTGCAGCCATATCCGTGCTGGGTGCAGTACCATCTCACTTTAACGCCGTGTACTCTATGTTTTATAAACTTATACCCTTCGAAGATTATCACCCGCGCCCCTCTAGATGTCTGTGTAAAAATAGGTCCTGAAAGACAACACATTCAAATGTAAATTATATAATCAACTAAAGAAAAATACATGTAATTCTTTATGTTAGTTAGTGGCTAAATAAAGGAGCTTAAATTCTGCTACTGTAGAAATTTATTTTATATAATTTTTGTTAACCTATTCACATTCAGATTATAATCATTTTTATGAAACTGAGTTATTTCTACCCATTATAAACATACAAAAGTGATATATTAAAATCAATAGTTGGTTTACTGGTTACCGCTCATGACTGCTGAGCCATAGGTCGTAGGTTCGATTCCCACAAATAATAGAGTGATGCGTGATGATGGTAATAATATTATGATTATTTGTTCCGTGTATGTCAGGTTATCCTATTATAACCCGACAGACTCTCCCTAGTTTGAGAATAGCGGAGCTAATGCGATTGGTGAATAGTTCTGTGCGGGCATATCGCCGAACGCGGTCGCCGTCGACGGTCGAATTGATGTAAAACACCGCACCATGGGCATGTTTAGTTACATCTTCTTTAAAATATCAATAAAACAACAATAAGTATTGAACTTTCTATTTTCTTCTATCGATAGTTTAAATGACTTACATTGAAATTGACTACCTTGTTAGTGTCCAGATTTCATAACCTATGAGTATAAGCTTAATACAGATAAAACAAAAAAATAGTAAATCAACAAAAGATTTGTCCAGTAGACAACTACATATATTTTTAAAACTAATAATAGTTATAATTGTATATTTCCAGATATGGCTGTTGATGAAATTTGTAATTGTAATCCCCACGTTTAAAAAGCCTTGTTTTTTACTGTGAGGCAATCTGTACAGATCCAGTATTTGTGGCCTCAATACTTTACTGAGGTATTATATGAGGCAATTCATTTAAGATGAATAAGCACTACCTGTGGACCAAGTTATCGTCTACGGTATTTCCGGAACGATATGACCTTCAAACCTCAAAAAAGGGCTTTTTCTCCCTAAAGGCCGGCAACGCTTGTGACTCCTGAGGTGCAGGCGTTCATGGGTGGCGGTAGTCGCTTCCCATTAGATGAACCTTCTGCTCGTTTGCCACCTCTTCCGTAAAAAAAAGACACTGGATAATGACCAAAAGAAATGCATTCGAGTTACTTGTGGAACTAATATGACTGATAAAGTTGTAAATCTCTTTTAACAGTACTAAAATATGCCTTTGCTATGTTTATATTCACTATAAATGTGTGTTTTTGTTAAGAAGTATCTTACATTGTTTAAAAAGTTAGGGGATTCGGCGAATATTCGAGTTAGTTACAGTTAAAACGTTTTACAAGTACCAAAATTATATATAAATAAATTAATTATTTATATATATGTATAGAATATCAATTAGAAAATTATCAACTTCATAATACTCACTACATATACAAGTACAGGATTTAACGCGATCAATAGGTATTGGCAGTGATGTTTCGACAAGGTTGCAGCTGCTGTGGTCACAGGATGAGTCAGCCTTTGACTGTCCAACTATCGATTGCGTTAATTCCTGCATTAATAAT